CCCGGCCCACGGCGCCCCCCCGCCGGGCCCGACCCCGCATCCGCATCCACACCCGCACGCCTTCGCTTTCGCTGCCGCAGCCGCCGCTGCGCCTTGCCAGCTGTCGGTCCCCCCAGGCCGTGCCGCTGCGCCTCCACCCGGACCTCCGACGGCCTCGGTGTTCGCGGGCGCAGCCTCGGCTCCGGCCCCTGCGCCTGCCCCGGGCACAGGGTCGGGCCCAGGCCCGGGGCCCGCAGGCCTGCCCTCCTTCCTGGGCGCGGAGTTGGGCTGCGCCAAAGCCTTCTATCCCGCGTCACTGAGCCCTCCCGCAGCCGGCACCGCTGCTGGTCTGTCCACCGCACTCCTGCGCCAGGGCCTCAAGACGGACGCGGGTGGTGGTGCGGGCGGCGGGGGCGCTGGGGCCGGGCAGAGGCCTTCCTTCTCTATAGACCACATCATGGGCCACGGTGGCGGCGGGGCAGCACCCCCGGGCGGAGGCGAGGGCTCGCCAGGATCGCCGTTCGCGGCGGCGGTGGGCCCTGGGGGTCAAGCCCAGGTCTTGGCCATGCTGACTGCCCCGGCTCTGGCTCCAGTGGCCGGCCACATCCGCCTCTCGCACCCCGGGGACGCGCTCCTGTCCTCAGGCTCCCCGTTTGCCAGCAAAGTCGCTGGTCTCAGTGGCTGCCACTTCTGAACCCCGTCGTGCTCAGGGCCACTTAGGCCCGCACTCCTCAGCCTCTCCCGGGAACTCCTGCCGTCCCAGCAGAACTCAGGGAGTCTATTTATGAAGACCTTGGGCCGGCGCGCGTGACTTGGCACTTAAGGCTCCACGCTCAGAATCTGATAGTTGGGACGAAGCGGGCTTCATCGCTCAGGGAGAGGTTCGGGTCTACGCGACGAGGTCGCAAGCCAGGATCCCATTCCATTTTGAGCTGTAAAAGGGGAGGGGGGAGTCTTCGCTTTTTCCCAGCCTCTGCGCCTCTGACAGCCCCGGAAGAATGCGTTCCCGGAGAGATGCCCGCCCGGGCCCTGCGGATCCCGCCAGAAACACCATCCGCGCAAAGAGGTCTTCCTCTCTGCCTCTCCCTCACTCCTTCCCCTACTTTGAGGCCCTGTTTGTCCAATATTATAATTTAAAGACACCTATTATCCGCTTCGTGCTTAAAGGAAAATTCAACTTTTTTTACTCTTGCTGTTCTCCAAGGAAGTTCGTTATCTCTGAAACCTAAAGCTCTGTCTGCACAGGCAAGCTGAACGGAGATGTGAAGCGAGGAGTCTCCACAATCCCCGTGGAAACCCTGGATCCCACTCCACTGGGGAACATCCTTCCTCTTTCGTGTTGGGGTGCTTTTGAAGGAACTTTCCCCCTTTCCCATGGCCGGCTGGGTCCAGCCAACCAGGGCCAGCAGCCCTCTCAGCATTCTGCTCTGTCTCAGGCCCTGGGATATTTATTGTGGCTAAAGGCAATGAGGTTGGGGTGGGAGAGGAGGGTCTGGGTCAGGGACTGGAGAGGTGGGGGTGGGGTGGGCGAGGGCGCATCCTGTGGCAGGGGGTCCTGTAATTATGTGTAAATATCTGTACAGCGGGCTGCTATCTGCATTCTCCGTCCACTGGGTGAGCATCGATTTAGACTTCTCCACTGCGGGGAGACTCAAATCGTCTGATGGTTTGTGTGGAAGAAAAGAAAAATCTGTCTCCCCCAACTTCCCATTGGTGTCAATTGAATAAATGTATGTGAACTCCAGCAGTTACCAGCTCAGTCTGCTTGCCTGCACTCCCCTTTTTCCCAGTCTGGGCTCTCCCAGAAGACCCCCAGCTTCCAGGCAGAGGTGGACCAAGGTAAAGCCCTGGCCAGCCCCAGGCGGGCAGAGGAGGGCTTGGACTTAGCATCAGGTACAGGGCATACTATGGCCTTGTGTTAATGGGCCTTCGCTGTTAATGGGCCAGGACTCTGGGAAGCCTGTGACCCCTTCAGCACTTTCATTTTCGCTCTGGTCCAGGAGGGTTTCTGCCTGGGATTCCGCAGAGAGGTTTTGTTTCAAATGCACCTGGGGAGTCTTTTTATTTTTGAGTTTAGACTTTAGAATAGCCTCGGCAGATTTGGGTGCCCAGTGCATAGGGATACTACACCCATTAAGTACAATTCAAATGCCTGTTTTTCTTGCTGCATTTTTGGTGTGCCCTCTGTGTGCTGCTGTGTGCGGAGGCTTTTATGGAGCTTGTGATTTGGGTTTGTATTCGTTTGGGTCATCACGTATCTGTGCCTTATTGTCTTTCTTTGTGGGGGGTGACTTGTATTTCAGGATATCTGTGTTTTTATTTCTATGTGTATTTGTGAATGTGTGTCTCTGTGATTCTCTGTCACTGTCTCTTTTTATGTCCCTAAGAGAGACGTTTCCCTTTGGCCACCGTGGGGCCTTCTTTGATACCCCCTTCCCTACCCTCTATGGAACAGTTGGGTGAAAGACTTGAATTGGGGACTGTGAAACCCCTGTCTTTTCCAGTCTAAGGAGATTAGAGGTTCACTGTGTGCTAAAGGAGAGAGTCAGTGCAGTCCTACTCCGTTAGGGTAAACCTCCTCTCATAGCCATGAACTTAGGATAAACGTCCAGGCTCATAAATAGAACTTATTGCCCGAGTGCAAAGCCACTGGGGCTGGCTAGAGTCTTCCATAAGCTCTTTGACCCTCCCAGCTTGATGCCTGTGTCTGGGACTCCCAGTGGCCAGACTGGCAAGCATGTTGGGTGAGAGGTGATGCTTTGGATGAAACAAAGATGGTTATTTTATAGCTCTTTTCTCTGTGCATTCAACTGAGGTTATGGAGAGGAAAAATAGGGAGGTACATAAGAGGCAGTTCAGCTTTTACAGAATATAGACACATGCAGAGGGTGAGGGTTGGGAGACAAGTGACAGAAGGAAGAAGACAGATGTAGAGAACTTGAGAGGGGCAGGTAGGGAGAAGCCATACAGGTCTCTTTAACCAGATTACCAGGCATTAGCAATAGTAGGGGGAAAGGAGGACGAGGACAGAGTGCCCTGCAGGAAGAGGGTCAGGATCAGGGTAGGAAGGATGCACCAGGGCCGGGGAAGAGTGGTTGGGATTCCTCAGACGAGGTTTAGGGTGCATATGGTAAATGCAGCCCCTTAGTCAGAGGTGACGTGCCCTCTCTTCCATCTTGTTGAGAGACTGCAGAGTGGAGGGAGATTGAATTCAGTTGGCTACCTCCCCACAATTTTATCAAATAGCCCAGGAGAAGTAAGGTTAGATTCCATGGTAAAAAGAGGGAGTATCTGTTGATACTGGGATCATGGTCTCTAGCTGGCTGCTTAGTTGACTTACGTTGCTGGGTTTGATTTTATTTCTTTTCACTTGAGGAAGGTTGAACATGACTGTGTGTATTTGCCCTCAGTAAAACACTTTGTGGCTTACGTGATCTCATTTACCATGAATATGCCACTCCCAGATATTAGGTTGGAGCTTCAAGTAAAAGTTTTGTCAATTGGTTTTTTCTCTCTAGAAGAGAGAAAATTTAGTCAGCCAGAATTCATATCTGATGGTGGATAGATGGATGAGATACTCCCACAACTACTACCTTCCAGGAGAAGCAGCAGATCTAGATTCCTCAATGTGACTTAATGAAAGTGTGTGTGTGTGTGTGTGTGTGTGTGTGTGTGTGTGTGAATTTATCTGAGT